ATATCAGGTTGTAGGGTGAACTTTCCAAGAAATGCTACATACATAACCGAGGGGGGGATCAGGTAAACAGGTGAAACAGGTAGAATGAAAGAAACAGGTGATACAGGTGAAAGAGGTAATACAGGGGGACACGTTGAGAAGGTGAAACCAGTAAATTAGGCAAAACAGGTGATCTGAGCAAAAAAACAATTAATTAAGTAGGTGACACAGGGAAGACAGGTAGGAAAAAACAGGTGACAAGGTAAATCTTCGGTGACAACACCTCCTGGTCATTGTCGACACTTCTGCACCTCGGAATGTCTGCACAAACCACAACTAGACCCCCCTATTGGCTGTGACAGCTTGAGAACTTGATGGACAGCTTACCAAACTGTCGCAGGACCGCCCCTGATACACTACTATTGTAGTCGACAAAACGAAACTTTAAAGGCAGGTAGTGTGGATATTCGCCTTGAGTTTGAAACAAATCAAAATATTCCTGCAAACACTTCTGCCTATTGTCTAATATTACATGATCGTTTAGTAAGGTACAACCCTCTCACTAATGTAATAAAAATATTGTAGTGTAGTTGTATGTTCTCCCAACAAAAATCATATACCGTGTTGTATTATAGTTAATAAATAAATATTGACCTATCCCACTGTTTCGGATTCATTTCATGATCATAAACCCAAACAAATAATAGCTATTCTGATAATAAATCACATAGCCTATACCAATAAACAAATCACAATCTTTATGAGTTATCATTAGTCTCACTTACCAATCAATTTTCATTTTTCCACTGCACAATTCACCTGATGTTGAAGCATAATAAAATCACAGTTTTTATACTATCCTAGGATGATGGATCAACAAATATTTTGTAAAAGTATCTGAACATGACAACTTTGTCAGCATGATAATGAAAAAAATATAACATGAAGCTAAATAAACATAACTAATGATTGCAGTCATATCAAACAAAACATGATGAAAGTGTTGACCTCTAGGTCAGCTAGCAAGATATTGGAACTTTAATTATACAGGGATATTCAGTAGGACTAACTTGGAAAATATAACCGAGGGGAAGATCAGGTAAACAGGTGAAACAGGTAAAATGAAAGAAACAGGTGATACAGGTGAAAGAGGTAATACAGGGGGACACGTTGAGAAGGTGAAACCAGTAAATTAGGCAAAACAGGTGATTTGAGCGAAAAACAATTAATTAAGTAGGTGACACAGGGAAGACAAGTAGGAAAAAACAGGTGACAAGGTAAATCTTCGGTGACAACACCTCCTGGTCATTGTCGACACTTCTGCACCTCGGAATGTCTGCACAAACCACAACTAGACCCCCCTATTGGCTGTGACAGCTTGAGAACTTGATGGACAGCTTACCAAACTGTCGCAGGACCGCCCCTGATACACTACTTACAATCTATTACAATTAATGGTGCTATGTCATGGAATTTAGATAGTGTTAGACAAGGTTCACCAGAGTTTTTGTAGTAATATGACTCTTGAAATCGTGCATTCATCTCATATATAACAGAAAATTGATATTTATTGAAATTTAGATTCAAATTGTCATAGGGATACACTTCAGAGTTCAGGTAAAGTTTCATATTGGCGAGATTACAGTGATCGAATTGACTCATATTTTTTTGACTGTCATTTTTTCTGTTTGTTTGGAAACCAACAATAACAAATCTCGGTTTTACCATTTGACTAGATGCTTTGACATTCCATGAGTGACGCATAGTTGATTGTAACATGGGAAATTCGTGGAGTTCCCAGGAACGGAAGGCTATCTCTAAATCTCTCCCCTTTTCAATATACTTGATTAACCGCAATTTCTCCACATCTGCCGTTTGAACGTGTGGAATGCGCCATAGAATTTTCGTCAATTCAATTTTTGGTTTTTCTCCAGCCTTGGAGGTTATCGTAGGATTGATGTCATTGCTACTTCTGATGAGAACAAGTTCTTGCCGAATATTCACCAGAATTTTCTTGAAATCTTCGCCAAATCCCAATAGATGTTTGAGTGGTAGACAAACGCTAAAGTTCCCTTGAAGATCAACAATTTCCGGATGACCAAGATGATTCCAACCAGCATTTATATATCTATTGCATTCATTATTTGTATAAGAAATGTAGCCCTTCATAGCTGATGTGATTCCAGGATTACGAACTCGATCCACAACGGACCCACCAATTTCATATCGGATTTCATCAAATAGAAAAGCAATACCATTGTTGATGAAGTTCAGTGTATTACTCACTTTATCTTCACTGTCAGTAATTCTACCTTCTAGATAAATGTAACTTTGTGATGGTAATGTGTAAATATCCTGCGTTTGAATCGGAACACGTTTCTCGAATGACTTATTTAGGCTTGTATTGGCATATGGTGGATGAGAGTGCATTTCGCAATTCGTTATCGCATTGTCCATCATCACATGTTCACCAATATTCAAAATATTGAAACTCATGTTTGTTGTGTTTCACTTTTTCTTCCACAGAAACACCTTAGGAGAATGAGAAATCTTCTAAGACCAGAGTGGATGTCCAATTTTAGGTTATACCAAAATTCGTAAAAAGTCTTCGTTTTGTCTTTTATAATAATTTGAAACCGAGTGAAATGAGGAACTGTTGATTCTCAGGTGTTAACTGTTTGATGTCACCTTTCGAACTGATACTTTTGATTGATGGAGAACGCGTTTCCTGACCCATTGTTGATGATGACATTGGAATATTATAGCGAAACACCATATCCACTAGAGCTCTTTCAAGTGCAACCTGACTGTTATGACTTCCTTTTGGAAATTAATTAAGGTTCCAGTTTGATCTACTACTCTGAGAATTATTTCATCAATGTATTTGGAATTGATTGGTAGATAAATGACATTTGACACTTTCTCCACTATTCGAAATCCACTAGGCACTGATGGATAGAACATGTGCAATGTGTGAACGGAAGAGTTATTATTATATGAATTTGTTGTTAAATTACATTCAACACACACTGAATTCACCTTGGAAATATTAATGGGAAAATCTGATATATGTTTTTTATTAGCTTCCAATTTCCTCTTGCTGAAACCTAACAGAGTTGCTATCGAGTTAGGTTTATCAAAGTGTATGAGTTTGTTGCATGTTATCTCATACCTTAGAGTATTACGATTAGCATTCAATTTGAGCTGAATCTCGGTAGTTTTCTCCTCTTCTTTCATAATAGTATTCGAAATTTGAGCTTTTTTTCCCTCCTTCTCTCTATCTTTTTCATGCAATTCATCCAATTGCATCATTATATTCCGTTCAATGTCTTCAATTTCATAGGAACCTTCAGGAATAACCAATGTGTGTTTGCCAACATAGAATCTGTTATTTCTCCCATCAATATTGGGGATAGTGTTGTAGGTCACGAAGTCAATCAGACCTAAGACATGGGTTTTATCATCATCTAAAATGATAGGTGGATGGATTTTAGCTGATAATACAGCATCTCTGGCTGATAAGGTGAAAGTATATGAACACGTCATGATAGTGATAGAGTCATTGAAAGAATGAGATAAATTACGCTTATATTTTATTGAGAGAGAAATTTCAAACATAACTGACTGCAATTCACAGAATTGAAAGTTTGATATACAGTGTGATTATATAAAATATTACAAGGTCCATTGGAATTGAAGTAATCTAACGTTTCCAGTGGTGGTCGCAGATTACCATAGCTATCAAAATAGACGATTTGTGATCCAATTTTTTTGTAGGCGGTCCAATGCGTCCCTGGTCCATCTTTGTTATCCAAGTTTATCACGCCACGTTCTTTCCTTCTGATTCTCTTGGGAAGATCATTCCTCATAAATACACCCCTAAAATGGGGAATGTTGAGTTCTTTAACGTACTTCAGAATATCCAAATTGGATAGTGGGAAATTGAGTGGTATCCTCTTACGAGATTCCCTATGTTTATTCATCCTCATCTTGTTGATATCAGGATAATACTAGGATGGTTATCTCAAAAAAAGTCCCAAACCAGTTTTATATGGTCTCAAATACATTCCTTTTCCCATTGCAATAGCTTCCATTGTTTTATTATGTCGTTGGGATTCTTCCAATTGATTTTTTGCTGATCTGGCATCAGTGACAGCCTCAGCTACACCTGCAGCGCCACCTGTGATTGCCCCGAGAGCACTCAATCCCGCGAAAATCGGAATCAAGGGTAACAAGCCACCCCTCTTTGGAATTTTAACAATACGTGTTGGTTGTATGTTGAGTTTTTTCGTTGACCTCAAAGCAACCTTGACTGCATCACCTACAGTCTTAGGTTTTTGGGAGATGATATGCTTTTTAATTTGTCCGATTGCTTTGGCGAAGCATACCCCCTTTTTTATTAGTTTCTTCTTGATATTCCTCTTTTTATTATTCCTACGTTTAGTATTCCCTTTGGATCTCTTGCGAGCCATCTGAACTGTAGGAAACTCTCTCGTATACTGACTTTTTCTTTTAATCCTTATGAAAATCAGGTGAATTTGAGTTTCTTATTTCCGAGATCGTTGCTATCTTCCTCTTCTATCTCTGTATCCAAACTTCTCTTTCTAGAATTTGTTGTTGTGATATCTAATGGTTCACTCATATCACTTGAATGAGTGTCCCCCTTATCATCTAATGTTCTCAATCTCCTTTTCACCTTTACCCCTTGTCTACGGTTGATCATATTACCGACCACATTTTTAGGCTTCTTATCAGGAATAATGTCTGAGATATCATCGTTATCCAATTTCCTCTTGTTTGCACATCTTTTATTCATGGGATAATCGTCAGCAATATCGATATCCATCATAATTTTCCACAATATGTCAGGTTATGACAGCCATTTCCTCATCAAAAAATTGAGTACCGAAAGCAGTGGTAAGGTATCTCTACTACCGATAAATAAAGAGAAATATATTTCATTTACCAAACACGTTGATGGGACGAAAGTGAGTTTCAGATTTTTAGATTCCTACAGGTTTATGGCTAGCAGTTTAGATACCTTATCATTATACTTAGATAATGATAGAAAAATAATCACGCGGAGATGTTACCGCAACGAGGAACAATTCAGTTTGCTGTGTCGGAAGGGTGTCTGCCCTTATGATTATTTAGATTCTTGGGAAAAATTGAGGGATACTAATTTACCATCGATTGAATCTTTCTTCAATAAACTGAATGGAGAAGGAGTATCAAGAGGTGATTATGAACATGCGCATAAGGTCTGGCAAGTTTTCAACATACAAACGTTACAACAATATGTTGAATTATATCTCAAAACAGACATTTTACTACTTGCAGATATATTCGAGAACTTTAGAATAACTTGTATGTCTACATATAAACTAGATCCTCTCCACTATTACACCGCGCCTGGACTAGCCTTTGATAGTATGTTGAAAATTACTGGTATTGAATTGGAGCTTCTTTCTGATATTGACATGATTATGTTTGTGGAAAAGGGCATTAGAGGAGGAGTATCACAGTGTTCTAATAGATATGCAAAAGCAAACAATAAATACATGGGGAATGAGTATGATCCTGGAAATCCAACATCATACCTCATGTATTTCGATGTTTACAACCTTTATGGAGCTGCAATGAGTCTCCCCCCTGCCTACGGGTGGATTCGAATAAGTTGAGAATATTTATTCGGTGGACAATATAATGAATATACCAGATGATAGTGAAAATGGTTACATTTTTGAGGTGGATCTTCATTACCCTCGAGACCTTTTCGAATACCATGAAGATTTGCCTCTTTGCCCCGAAAGTATGAAACCGCCTACTGCTAAATCAAAAATTAATAAATTACTCACAACTTTTTACGATAAGAAAAATTACATTATTCACTATGAAAATTTGAAGCAAGCTTTGAGTTTAGGTATTAAAATAGAAAAAATTCATAAAATTTTGACTTTCAAACAGTCCTGTTGGTTACAAAAATATATATCTTTGAACACTGAGTTACGAAAACAAAGCAAAAATGAATTTGACAAAAATTTTTATAAACTCATGGTTAATTCTGTCTTTGGTAAAACTATGGAGAACGTGAGAAAGTACAAAGATATAAAACTAGTTTCAAAATGGGGTGGTAGATACGGGGCGAAATACTATATTTCTCAACCAAATTTCCACAGTTGCAGTATTTTCGATGATGATATGGTCATCATTGAAATGAAAAGATTGAGAGTGAAATTCAATAAACCTATCTATGTCGGATTCAGTATTTCAGATATTTCCAAAACTTTCTTATATGATTTTCACTACTCTTACATAAAACACAAATTTGGATCAGATGCAAAACTACTCTATACCGATACCGACTCTCTACTTTATCAAATTTTCACTGAAGATATTTATGAACATATAAAAGCGGATATAGATAGGTATGACACGTCTGATTATCCACCAGACAACATTTATGGTATTCCTCTGAAGAACAAAAAGGTCTTGGGAATAATGAAAGACGAGAACGCTGGGGAAATAATGACTGAATTTATTGGATTACGCTCGAAATTATACACATTCAAAATTTTACGAAATCAAAACAAACTCATTGACTCTGGTGTAATCAAAAAAGCGAAAGGAATTCGAAAGTCAGCCTTGCGAACAATCACTTTCGATGACTATCGCAATTGTCTGTTGAATAATACCTCAACCCAAATATGTCAATATATGATAAGATCTAATAAGCATGAAGTACACACAATAGAACAGAAAAAAACAGCATTGAATCCGTATGATGATAAGAGAGTGATCAACTGTCTTCATACGGATACATTACCTTGGGGGTATATTTAGTTCATATAAAATATATGTACTCTACTTCCGTTTCAAATTATAGGATAAATAGATAAGAAACAAAGATGAGTCAAAGAAATCTGATACAAGAGAACTACATCAATAGCTCTGACGATAGAGAGGGGACACTTGATATCAATGGTCCTTCGAGATACAAGTGCACGAGATGTAACAACCAATTCAGAAGCTACACGACCTACAGCCAGTGCTACACGTGTCACAGAGCTCAGGACATTGACGGATATCGGGTTTGACAGCGTGAACAGATCAGAATAAAAAATAGACTGGGACATTAAGCTGTCAAACAATGAATCAAATGTTACTACTGCAACTTCTACTTCTCACTGAAATATCAACTGGAAAGTTGTACTCTGAATATCAACCGCAAAATGGAAGTTTATATATACACCATGAGATGCCCAATATGTCATCTCTACAGATAACCTACAACAATCTCTTGACAAAATATCCTGGAATTAAATTGTATTCTGAGCATATGGATACTAGTGGATTATATGGTCTCAACAATAGAACAATAGCAATGTCTGGAACTGCTGTAAAAAATAATTGTGATCGATGTGAAAATGGATGGAATAGAACAAAGGAAGAATTATTCAAGTGCAACTCTGAGATTCATAATTGTACGCAAGAATTGAAGGTTCACATAAATCATGGTAACACTGAATTACTCAAAATCAGATCAGATTTGGCAGCATGTATGACAGTGAGTTCAGGATTCAAAATAGAGGCAGATGTATGGGCTTCAAAGTATGCAGATTTGAAATTTTCTAAAGAAAATCATCCAACTACAAACCACAACAACAACAACAACAACAACAACACATTGAAAAATTCGGCATATCTCATTCTAGAATGGAATTATTCTAGTTGTCTTCAAGAACTCAACAGGTATATGAGAAAACATTATTTTCAATTAAACAAAATTTATGACAGATATTATTTCATTTTTTCAATTTTTTTTTCTCCTTCTCCTAGATTGAAGAAACTCAAACAAGAACTCAACAACTGAGAGAGCCAGGCTTATCCATCAAGAGAATCTACACCCGATATAAAATATTGAAATGAAATAACTGTGTTCAGTAGTGAATAAAAGATATATGTAACCATCTGTTCAAGTTTTTTATTTTATTGAGGTTATTCAACAAAGGTATCAATTTATAGTATAATGAAATCTAGCTACTTGTTTCTTCACTCTTCGTTTATTACCCAAAGTGTTATACGATTACAATTATCACAGTATTCCATTCTCCTCTTCTTAATATGCTGCTGCCAATTGAGTGAATGATCAAAGAAGATGCATTTTGTTCGCCAACAACTCATGCACGTATAGGAAAAATTCATCATTCACTCTCTTCAAGAGTCTTTGGTGATTTATTATTGAAAACTTCAACCCTTTCAATCCTGCTTATAACTTCAAAACTTTTTATATGTTCTCTTCTCTTGGTCAATAGTTGTTTGGGGATAGCAGTTAGGTCAATTCTTCTGCAAGTTGATGATACAGCAAATTTTTTAAATCTATTTTTATCAATGAAGACTTGTGTCCACGTCATGCCGGTTCAATGATAACTGAAGCAATCAAACTGAAGCAATCAATTCCAATAGCGAGAAACTCGATGAATTATCTCAAACACTTATCTCTGTTATATCAACAACATAATCAGTATGATTCTCATGGTTGCAGACTGACAATCTAGAATTTTCAATATCAGGTTGTAGGGTGAACTTTCCAAGAAATGGAACATACATAACCGAGGGGGGGATCAGGTAAACAGGTGAAACAGGTAGAATGAAAGAAACAGGTGATACAGGTAAAAGAGGTAATACAGGGGGACACGTTGAGAAGGTGAAACCAGTAAATTAGGCAAAACAGGTGATTTGAGCAAAAAAACAATTAATTAAGTAGGTGACACAGGGAAGACAGGTAGGAAAAAACAGGTGACAAGGTAAATCTTCGGTGACAACACCTCCTGGTCATTGTCGACACTTCTGCACCTCGGAATGTCTGCACAAACCACAACTAGACCCCCCTATTGGCTGTGACAGCTTGAGAACTTGATGGACAGCTCACCAAACTGTCGCAGGACCGCGTCTGATACACTACTGATAGAGATATATAGTGTGTACGAGGATGAAGTCGATGTATCCGCATTTGCCTATTGTTCTCGTTATATTTCCTTCAAAGTCGTCTTATACGGTTAATGCCATCGTTTCTGCTCCAACTGTATGCATGTCAGATGCTGGACTACAGAGTTACAGTGTAAACATAGTCGAAGTTTCTCGTTTTGTAAGCTGTGTGCGATATACCCGCTTGGGAATTGTATTATATGGTCAATGCAAACTTGTCTACCCAATAGTGTCGAGGTAAGATGATAAGATAGGGAGATGAAGTGTGCACAACGATGGAGTCGATGTATCCCCATTTGCCTATTGTAGTCGTTATATACCCTTCAATGTCTTCTTATACGGTCACTGCAATTGTATATGCTTCAACTGTATGAATGTCAGATGCTAGACTGCAGAGTTACAGTGTAAACATAGCCAAAGTCAGAATTTCTTGCTCTGCAAGCTGTGTTCGTTGAACCCGCTTGGAAATCGTCTCATATGGTCGATGCAGACTTGTCTACTCAAAAGTGTCAAGAAAAGATGATAGGATAGGGAAATATATTGTGCACAACGATGAAGTCGATGTATCTCCATTTGGATATTGTTTTCGTTATATACCCTTTCAAGTCGTCTTATACGGTAACTGTCATCGTATCTGCTTCAACTGTATGCATGTCAGATGCTGGACTGCAGAGTTACAGTGTAAACATGAACAAAGTCGAAGTTTCTTGCTCTGTAAGCTGTGTGCGATATACCCGTTTGGGAATCGTCCTATATGGTCAATGCAAACTTGTCTACCCAATTGTGTCAAGGTAAGATGATAGGATAGAGACATATATAGTGTGCACAACGATGAAGTCGATGTATCTTCTTTTGCCTATTGTACTCGATATATATTCTTCAAAAGCGTCTCATACGGTCACTGTCATCGTATCTGCTCCAACTGTATGCATGTCAGATGCTGAACTGCAGAGTTACAGTGTAAACATAGTCAAAGTCTGAGTATCTTGTTCTGCAAACTGTGTGCGTTATACCCGCTTGAGAGTTGTCTTATATGGTCAATGAGAACATGTCTGCTCCAATTGTGTCCATGTGAGATGATAGGATAATGAGATATAGTGTGCACGACGATAAAGTCAATGTATCCCCATTTGCCTGTTGTACTCGCTATATACCCTCCAGAGTCGTCTTGAATGGTCACTGCAATCGTATTAGCATCAACTAAATGCATGTTAGATTCAAGACTGCAAAGTTACAGTGTTACAACAGTCAATGTTGAAGTTTCCTGTTCTATAAGCTGTGTGCGTTATACCCGTTTGAAAATCGTCTCATATGGTCAATGCGAACTTGTCTGCTTTGATAGTGTCCATGTGAGATGATAGAATAGAGAGATATAGTGTGTAGGGCGATGAAGTCGATGTATCCCTATTTGCCTAATGTACTCGCTATATACCTCCGCAGTCGTCTTATATGGTCACTGCAAACGTATCTCCATCAACTGTATGCATGTCAGATTCAAGACTGCAGAGTTGAAGTGTGAACATAGTCAGAGTCGAAATTTCTTGTTTCGCAAGCTGTGTGCGTTATACTCGCTTGGAAGCCGTCTTGTATAGTCATTGCGAGCTCGTCTGCTTCAATAGTGCCCATGTGAGAAGATCGGATAGAAATATATAGTGTGTAAGACGATAAAGTCGATGTATCATCATTTGCCTAT